TTAGACCCTAATCCTTTCCCTTTTGTAGAGTCTGACATATTTTCCCCTCGACGCCATCCGTACGTAGTTCATTGACGCTACCTACTGACATCATCCAAAAAGAACCGATCCCAGTACTACATCTGAATCTGCTGATATCGATCCTTACACAATCAATTCCTTGATGACACAATCCTGGAAGCTTCGAGGTCCCGCGTTCTTCTTTCCAAATTTTGGTGTAAACACCTCCTCCTCCTCTCTCCTCTCTCCTCCTAGATCGGGCTAGGGTTCCAGTGAGCTAACCCCCTTCTTCTCCAACACCGATGGGGTTGAAAGGTCCTTGCTTGGTTTTGGTAATTGAGTGACAACCTTAGGTGGACTAATATGTGGTTGAGTGAGACACATAGGTGATTAGTCCATAGGTACTTGTGTGAGCAACTCATGCCATGAAGTGAAGTGTCTCAAAGATGTTGCAAAGGCTCACACTTATGATGAAGGAGCTCATTGCATATGAGACATGACATGGAATCATGTGATCAAGGTGGAGAAGATCAAGATAAGACTTGGCTCGACGGACTGGTTGCAAGTGTGAAGGGCAAGTTGAGTGATGACTTGGCGCCTATGGACTGAGGCAACGGTGAAGAGCAAGTGAGTCAAGATCGATGAACCAATACGGTCACGTGATGATATGAAGTGTATCATATCATTTGGCGATTGGTTGGTGCATGTGTTGCATTGACATCAAAGGAGATGAAGTGGAATGCGCAAGGCAAAGGTATAACCTAGGGTATTTCATTTTACTAGTCAAAGGTTGTGTAGAGAAGTGCATGGCCAGGTTTAGGATAGAGGCTGTACTATTAAGATGAGCAAACTTGTTTGCATATCGGTCATCTAGTGCCACTTGAGCGATCTAACCTTGAATACGTGTTAGGATTGTGTGGCATGGTGAATTAAGTGACTAATCCTTTGGGAAATGTTTGTGAAAAGCTAACACACATGCACAAGTTGGTGAACACTTGGTGGTGTTAGCATATTTGCAAAGGTGTTGAAAAAGATGAAGAAATGGAGGCGAAACCGGGCTCGGGGTGCTGCCCTAGGGGCGCCGCCACCGCCTGTCTGGTGCACCACCACCCTTGTGGCAGTGACCGTCTAGGAGGCTGAGAGCAGAGGGTTGCCCTGGGGGCACCGTCACCTTGTCCGGTGGCACCGCCACCCCTAGGGCGGTTGTTGATATTTCTTAGCATCGCTACTAAGAACAGAGTTTTAAATCTAGTCCCTAGCAACAGCACCAGAAATGCTTGTTGGTATTTATTAACGTGTCACTTGTTTTTAATTAGCCACCTATTATAAACCTATATCTCCTAATTTTACTAGGTTGTCATCCCTAGTGATGATATCAGAGATACTTGTTGGCACTACATAGCATTACTACTAGAATAATACTAAGCAGTTCTTTATTAATTATGTGACTAGGAAGAATAGATATGAATATATATATTTATATGAAAGGAATCTGCAAGCGCATAGATAATATACCATTGTAGCATTTTACCCGAGAGTATTTCAGGTATCATTATTTATATTTTTACCATAGGGAAGGTCTAGCATGGACATGCATTGATAACTTATACCATTGAAGGAGAAGTAAACCATAACTAATATTCTACTCATAACAGAGGTAAGTCATATGATAAGATATATATATGATAAGTATTGATCAATGATAATAACAAATCACTCAGAGTACTCCTTTCTATGGCATTAGCATGGTCAGGTAGAATATTAGAGGAATAATTCCTAAGTCATTCCTAATTACAAGTCAAAGCATACATTGATTAGTGCAATTATACCTAGTAATCATTGCTAAGATCATCATCATATCTACACATAAGGGATATTACTAAGGAAGATTAAGAACAGAGCTTGCTCTTCCTTCGTAACCGAACCTTACGTGCGCCTATATTCGGGGAGTGGACTACAAATGACTCAACGGGAGTGTCACATCTGCGATCTACCACGTGACCTAGAATATAGGGTGTATCCATAGATAAACAACGTATAAGCACCACGCTTACACAATGTCGACCACCCACCCATGGATCCTTAGAGTGAGCGTTATACGAACTTATGCATGAACATAATGATAATCCAACTATACTAAGCATATAATCAAAGTAGACCATGAACATTATAACAAAGAACATGAATAAGATGAATGCTAATATTGTCATAACAATTGTAACTAGCATGTAAAAGTAATAGAGATTCAAAAGAGAGAGGGCTATAAAGATTCTACCAAACCACGCTCTTGACAAGATCAGGAATCCAAGCGAAGCCTGCTTGCCTCCTTCTAGACCTAGCCTAACTAGCTATGCCCTAGAATATGGTGGAGCTCTGAGGATGATTAGGGTTTCTATCTTCTCAAATGACTTATGCCTTCTCAGGAGGGTAGGGGCTGATATATATAGGCCGGAGCGTCCAATGTGAGCCCTTGGAACAAACCGATTTAAAGGATGACGTAGATGCAACCTAGGAGGCGGTGGAGAACCGACATAACAACGAGGGGCTGACAGGTGGGCCGTAGGGGTCGGATGGCTTACAGGCGGCGACGTGTCACCCTTCGCTTCGGTGTGGAGTCCTCTCGAGTCTTCTAGAGTCTTCTGGTGTCCGTTTTGCTGATTAAATCTGACATGTAGGTCCACCTTGACGGTTTTCTAGATAAACCCTGCAGAAAATATAGATTCACCAAAACTCGTGGAATTTATTAGTTTAAACCCCTAAACCTTCATTGATGATTATATTTATGCCCTTATACATGTTATATTGATGCTTTATAATGGTTATTAACTACCGTCAACAGCGGTGCCCACCTGGACATGGCAGAGCAAGGCTAGAGCTGAGGCTGGTAGTGGAAGGGGCGGTATGCACCGCCACTGGCAGGTCGGTGCACCGTCTGGTCACTGCCACTAGTGAGGTGGGGCCACCACTGTTTTTCACCTGAGAGCGAGGGAAGCCAAGCTGGTCACCATCGTGGGCACCGCCGCCCTGATGGCGGTGCACCGCCATAAAAATCTAGAGAAGGGGGTATTCGGGCAGATGGCCGGGTGGTCACCGCCACCCTAAGGGCAGTGCTACCACCACCCCGGTTCGGTGACCAACGGCTAGTTTGGAATTCGACCGTTGGGAGGGGCACCACTGTGTCCGATGCCCTCGCAGAAAAAGGATCTTTGCTCCAACGGCTCTATTTGGCTTGGGGCTATAAATAGAGGTGGAGCTCGGGCATTTGACTGGTTGAGCACCCTTGGGACTGAGTGTCCATGCTTGGGGAGTGCTTGGGAGCCCTCTAACTCACTTGTGCTTGATAGTGATCATCCGATCGAGTGAGTGAGCGATTCTAGTGCGATTGCATTGTAAGGTTGCATCGTGTGGCATTAGGTGATAGAGTTGCAAGCTGGTGGTGCTTGTTACTCTTAGAGGTTGCCACCTCCTAGATGGCTTGGTGGCTTATGACTACGCTGAAGCACGTGAGAAGATTGTGCGATGCTCCGGAGGAGGATTTGTGAGGGGGATTGTGCTCACCCCGCGGGGATCGCGAAGAGCAACTTTAGTTGAGCGTGTCATTGAGCTACCCTCACTTTCGGGGTAGGTTCTTGCGGTGCCCGATGTGCGGGCTTGGCGGGTGATGCCAATTGGCCGCCGAACCACCAAGTGAGCGGTCGATACAACAGGGACGTAGCTTGATGACAACTAAGTAAACCTCGAAAGAAAATCACCGTGTCAATATTGTCTTCATCTTCTCGGTGGTTTGCTTTCCATGAAACACAATCTTGTATTGCTTTCATTTACATTATGCTTGTGTAGTTGCTCTTGTGACTAGCTTAGCTTTAGTAGCTTGCTAGTTGCCTTCTTGCTTGTGTAGCATAGAAGTAGTTCCCTTGAGTGGCTAATTTGGTTTTAGTAACCTTGTTAGTCACATTGCTTAGTTTGTGTAGCTAAATAATTTGCGCCCTCTAATTTAGCTTGTAGCCTTGTTATTGAGCATTGCTAGTGAGCTTAGGGGCTTTGTGCTTTTGCTTCACTAGTTGTGTAGGAGCTCCATCGGTTGTGTGAAGTACTAGTGTATAGGTTTGTGTGACCTTGCTTTAGAATTGATTAGGTGAGCTCTAGTTAACCCGGTACCTTTGTTGCCTAATTAAGATCTTTTTAAAGTGCTTGTGAACTTAGATAGAGGGATGTAGTCTTGGCTAGACCGATAGTTCTAATTTCGTATTTGTTTTGGTTAGCCGGCGCAATTAATTTTAGAAAAGACTATTCACCCCCTCTCTAGCGCCATATCGACCCTACGGGGGTATAGAATGGCTGATTGGGGAGGTAGGTAGGCCAGACGGTGAGAATGGTGGATGGGCGGCTTAGGGGAGCTGGCGGTGGCAGGTGCGGTCGGGCCAGGTCGGAACGGGGGAGGCTCGTCGGAGCTGGAGAAGATGGCGGCGGTGGGGGGTGGGGAAGAGGGCGGCCGCCGCAGGCCCGAACCCTAGCGCCGGTGGCAGGGCGGTGGGCGGTGGCCGGCGGCGGGAGCAGGGGCAAGGGCGAGGGCGTTGGAGTCGGGGAAGAGGGCTGCTGTGTTTTTTATTTACTAGAAACTAGTGTCCCAGGAGGTGTGCGCGGAACCTCTAAATACTGCGCGCGCATGCTTGAGCAAAGTTCATAAAATAAATGGACCAAACCCAAGTGCTCACGTCGTCCAAAGGTTATCCTCCAGCCCAGAGCTCGTCCTCCAAGCGCAACATCCATTTTAGATGAGTTGGGCCGCCCGAACGATGGAAGAAGGGTGGGAGTAGGCCCAACGGTAACCGTAAACCCTTCTCCTTTTGGTTTGGCTCTTGTCTCTTCTACCCAAATCCCAAAAATTCCGTTTCCCCACCGCAAAATTTCAAAATTCCCACCCACCTTTCCTTCCCCCATCTCAGTCGAGCGCCCTCTCCAGTCTCCAGTCCCCACCCCGTCGATCTCGCCCCCATCCCATGGACGCCGACGAGATGGACGTCGACCTCGACGGCGCCGGCGGGATGGACTCCCTACCCTCGGCCTCCCCCGCGTCCGCCTCCGGTTCCCTCCCCGCCGTCCTCTCCGAGCTCGCCGCCCTCCACCGCCGCGCGTCCTCCTCCTCCTCCGCCACCTCCCCGCCCCTGTCCCTGCCCTCCATCACATTCCTCTCCTCCGGCCCCGCCGCCGTCGCGCCCATCTTCCCCCGCCTCGCCGAGGCCGGCGTCCCCGCGTCCTCCCTGCTGCCCCCGCTCGAGGCCTCGCTCTCCGCGCACCCGCTCCCCGCCGCCGTCGCCTACCTCCGCCTCCTCCTCGCCCCGGGCTCCCCGCTCCTCATCCTCTTCTCCCCGCTCCCCTTCCTCTCCCTCCTCCTCGCCATCCGCAAGGCCGCCGCCGCCGCGGCCTCCGCCACCGGAGCCGGCAGCGCCGCCTCCAACCCTAGCTCCGGTTCCGGCGCCGCCGCGGCCGCCAACCCCCGCAAGCGCAAGAACCAGCGCCAGAAGCCGCCGGCGGCCCCGCGGGCGGCGCCGTCGCTGCTCCCGAAGGCGCTCTCCCTGCTCGCCGACGCCGCGGGAAGGCTGCCGCTCGGGGCCCACCCGGACGCGCGGCGGTCGCTCGTCGACACCGCCGCGGAGCTCGCGGCGTTCGACGTCCTCGCCGCCGTCCTTGGATCCGACTACCACGCCGGGGCGGTGCAGGACGTGATACGCGCGCTGGCCCCGGTGGTGCTCTCGGCCACGAAATCTGCGGCACGGGTGGCCGCGGTGCAGTTCCTCGTGAGGAAGTTGGTGCCTTTGGGTGGCGAGGAAGGGGAGGAAGCAGTTAGGAAGGCAGTGGGGTACCTTCCGAGGTACTTGGCCGTGAAGGCCCCGGACAAGGCGGAGGCCAGGGCACTGGCGGTGGAAGCCATAGTCGAGGTGGTACGGGCATTGGACGCTTTGGGAAGGGAGGGATTTGCAGGGTACGTTGTGGCCATGGCAAGGGGCAAGGCAAAGGGACGACTGCTTGCTGTGGATTTGGTCCTTGCCTTGCTGCCAGTGCTGTTACCATCTGAAGGGGATGACTGTGATACGGAGGAGGGCTCTTGGGGGCTGAAGTTTCTGCGGCTGTTGGTGGAGAGGTGCTCAGATAGCGTGGGAGGTGTTCGAGCTCGGGCGTTAACGAATGCAGCACAGGTGCTTGATGTTTTGTCTGAGAGAGGTGTGGAGGTTGACCGGTTGCAAGAGGTGATGAGGATTGGGGACATGGGGCTTGGGGAATTGCTGAGACGACGCTGCACCGATGATAAGGCTGCTGTGAGGAAGGCTGTGCTTGTGCTCATCACAAAGGCAATCGGTTTGATTGGGAGACCCATCGAGGAGTCTCTTCTTTCTGCAATGGGCGCTGCATGCTCTGATCCATTAGTCAGCATCCGCAAGGCTGCTCTTGCTGCCATCTCAGAGGTTTTTAGGAAATTTCCTGATGAGAAAGTGATGAAAGAGTGGCTTCAGGCCGTGCCGCCGCTGGTGATTGATAGTGAGACAAGCATCCAGGAGGAATGTGAAAACCTGTTTCTTGAACTGGTGCTTAACAGGATCTGCCAAGCTGCCAATTCGAAACTAGATGATGATTCCATCACCTTGGAGGAAGTTTTCCCTGAAGGGACACTGGATTTGCTGAAAAGCATCTGTGATGGAGAGGTTGCTCCATGCATAAAGAAGATATGTGCAAGCCTTGGGAAGAAGAAGAAGCTGAAACCACTACTTGCTAGCTCACTGCAGAACATCATAACACTATCTGAATCCTTGTGGTTGAGAAATTGTAAGCCAATCGAAAATTGGACTGCACCTATTGGGTCCTGGTGGCTTCTTTCTGAAGTCTCATCATTCGCGCCAAAATCAGTTGACTGGAAGTTCCTCTCCCACCACTGGAAACTTCTTGACAATGTTGGCCAAGATGACAGAGGTAAAGCTTGTTCTCAAGTGGAACCAAACTCTGCGCTCTGGGCAGTCAATCGTGTGTCACTCTTGCAAACCATTTCAAATGTCTCCATGGAGCTGCCTGTGAAACCTGCAGCAGAATTGGCACAGAGCTTGCTCACAAGGATTGAGGATTTTGATATGAATCTGAGTGAGGTAATCAGTTTGTCAATCCAAAACAATAGTGAGTAGTACACTAATTTGTTTTTGCTACAGTTAAATTTTGAGTTAGCATGGCATTTTATGTTTTTACAATACGAGATCCTACTTAATCTGCCAACTAAAAACAATATTAAACCTACTGCACTTTGTATAGCGTGCCCTAATCCTATCGCCCAATTTGCCAAAACTTGGCAACTTGTACTGTTCTGAAGATTTTTTTGGGTAAATCATAATGTTGGGTATGGTAAATCTAGGCCAGCATTTCATAATTATAAAATGAAAACTTTAGGTTCACTGTGCTTGCCAGTGTTGGTATTATAACGATCAGCAATATTTTCTGGTAGGGCAGTCCTTCTAGCTTAGGGCATGTTTGGATCCATCTTGCTAATAGTTAGCAACTGAGAATTAGCAAGAGTGGATCCAAACAGGCAAATGCTAAAAGGTGTGATAGCTACTAGTAAAAACTAGTAAGGTTTTGGTTGCTAGCAAGTGCTAAGGATTAGCATGCTAAAATTAGCACATCCAAACAGAGCCTAGCTGAAACCTCAGTGCAATCACAATATATTGTTTTAAGGCCTGCTTGTTACCTGTTTGGAATCTAGGGCGTACCCAGTGCAGAGAGCTTCCGCTCTGTGCGCGGTCTGGGGAAGGGTGTTAGTGGCAAGCCTTACTCTCGCCTGTGCAATGGGAGGAGACCGCGACTCGAACCCGGGACCTTCCGGTGACAAGAATTCAAGATTATCCAGAAACTTTGCTGTTTAGATCATTGATTATCCACATTTTCCCCTCCCCATAGGCCATAGTTCTGCAACAATGTTCATCATGCATTCATCTTATCTTTTTCCTTGATATAGGCTTCTGTGTGTTGTTGGTTGAACTATCTACAATTTTGCCAAAATCGCTCTTAACAGAAGTAATTCATGTCCATATCTTGAGCATAATTTTTATGCATGCATAAACAGGTTGATGCGCATGTAAAAGCACTGAAAACTTTATGTAAAAGGAAAGCAAAATCAGCTAATGAGGGTGATGCACTGATCCTGAAGTGGGCGCAGCAACTTATCTGTAGTGCTTTTGACATCCTTGACCAGTACATAAAAGAGGCATCTGAATCAGCCAGGGGTCACAGTTTCGTTACTCCTATGACTGGCAAACGCAAGGGAACGAAACAGACATCTGCATCAAAGTCAACATTACGTGCAGTTGTTGCTGTGTTCACTGTTGGATCACTGATCCTAGCTTGTCCTACTGCTGATGTGAAGGACATCACCCCTTTGCTACACACAATTGTAACTTCTGGAAGTTCTGAGCCAAGGCCAAAAAACCTTGTTGGTGGGACCATTTCTTTCAAAGAGTTAGCTCCATCATTATATATACAAACGTGGGATACATTAGCAAAAATATGCCTTGTAGATGACAAAGTGGCCAAACGGTACATTCCAATTTTTGTTCAGGTATGTACACTGCACAGGTCTCATGATTACTCTTAACAGATATAGTCAATGTTGCTTCTATGAATCAGGAGCTTGAGAGGAGTGATATGGCTACCCTTCGGAATAATATCATGATTGCGATGGCAGACTTCTATGTCCGTTATACTGCATTGGTTGACTGGTGAGCTTATATTTCTTCATTCATATACACACTGATTAATATCACTATCCTTCCAGAATTTGTCACTGTTTCTTGCAAGCAGATATACATGTTCCTGTATATCAGAATGTGTTTTTCAGACTTTTTTCTCCCTCAAGAAAAATGAATGTTGCTTATACAGTCACACTTTACTAAATTTATAACTTCAACTTTTTCCACCTTTGCAATGTTTAAGACAATCGGCTGATTCTGACAACTCTTTGGTGAATGAAACGTAGCTAATTTGTTTCCCTCTGTTTTCCTTTTTTTGTGTATCTGTCCATTTTCTAAGTTAATGGTCCCAATGAATGATCTTATATATTAATCCATTTAATTCTGATTCTGTATGTTTCCCCAAAAGAAAGTTGAAAAGATATCTCCTTTGTTTTTAAGGGGCTTTTGTGCTCTTGCCCCTACTTTGAAGTGCAATTGTGATTTTGTCCTCGTTTTTTTAACTTTGTGATTTTGCCCTTCACTATAAGTAAGTCAATGCGATTTTGTCCCAAATCAACGGTCAAAACAGGGGCAAATTCACAAAGATCAGGGGCAAAATCGCATTGACTTGCTTGTAGTGAAGGGCAAAATCACAAAGTTAAAAAAACGAGGGCAAAATCATAATTAACCATCTAAAGTAGGGGCAAGAACACCAAAACTCCTTTTTTTAAAGATTCTAGCAACATGCTTGAATTCTTGTTAGATGGTATTGGAGAGGAAGCTGTTAGTCTGTTACTATATATTGGCAGCAGCAACAACAACAACAACAACATAGCCTTTCAGTCCCAAACAAGTTGGGGTAGGTTAGAGTTGAAATCCACCAAGAGCAAAGTCACGGTTCAGGCACTTTAATAGCTGTTTTCCAAGCACTTATATTCAAACATAGATTTCTAGATATAACTTAAACTTTTAAATCTCTTTTTACTGCCTCTCCCCATGTTAATTTCGGTCTTCCTCTACCTCTTCTCATATTATTAGGTTGGCTTAGGACTTCACAATGCATTGGTGTCTCAGGAGGTTTCATTTGGACATGACCAAACCACCTCAACCAATGTTGAACAAATTTTTCTTCAATTGGTGCTACCCCTAGGCGATCACGTATATCATCGTTTCGAACTCGATCCATTCTTGTGTGACCATAAATCCATTGCAACATACGCATTTCTGCAATACATAGTTGTTGAACATGTCGAATCTTTGTAGGCCAACATTCTGCTCCATACAAAATAGCCGGTCTAATCGCCGTTCTATAAAATTTGCTTTATAGCTTTTGTGGTACCCTCTTGTCACAGAGAATGCTAGAAGCTTGACGTCACTTGATCCACCCTGTTTGATTCTATGGCTAACGTCTGCATCAATATCTTCATCCCTCTATAGCATTGATCCCAGATACCGAAAGGTATCCTTCTTAGGCACTACTTGATCTTCCAAACTCACATCTCCCTCCTCTTGTGCAGCTCCGCTAAAGTCGCATCTCATGTATTCGGTTTTAGTTTTGCTCAATCTAAAACCTTTAGACTCAAGGGTCTGCCGTCATAATTCTAGTTTCCTATTTACTCCCGCCTGGCTTTCGTCCACTAACACTACATCATCAGCGAACAACATACATCAAGGGATATCCCCTTGTATGTTCCTGGTAACCTCATCTATTACCAAGGCAAAGAGATACGGGTTTAAGACTAACCCTTGATGAAGTCCAAATTTAATTAAGAAGTAATCTGTGTTACCATCGTTTGTTCGAACAATAGTCACAACATTATTGTACATGTCCTTGATGAGGGTCACGTACTTTTATGTGACTTTATGTTTGTCCAAAGCCGACCACATAATATTTCTTGATATTTTGTCATAAGTCTTGTCCAAGTCAATGAAAACCATGTGGAAGTCCTTCTGCTCTCTAAACTACTCCATAACTTGTCTTATTAAGCAGACTGCTTCTGTGATTGATCTTCCGGGCATGAAACTAAATTGGTTTGTTGATATCTGCGTCGTTTCTCGCAGGCGCTGCTTGATTACTCTCTCTCATAGCTTCATAGTGTGGTTCATCAATTTAATTCCCTGATAATTAGTATAATTTTGGATATCTCCCTTGTTCTTGTAGATTGTTACCAATATGCTTCTTTTCTACTCCTTAGGCATCTTGTTCGATCGAAAGATATTGTTGAACATCTTGGTTAGCCATACTATAGCTATATCCTCGAGACATCTTCACACCTTGATTGAGATACCATCAGGGCCCATCGCTTTGCCCCCTTTCATCCTTTTCAAGGCTTTTCTGACTTCCGATTCTTGAATCCTCCGCACAAAGTGCCTATTAGTGTCATTAAACGAGTCGTCCAGCTGAACGGTGATGTTTTCGTTCTCACCATTGAATAATTTATCAAAATACTCTTGCTATCTATGTTTGATCTCATCCTCCTTCACCAAGAGCTGTTCCCTCTCATCTTTTATGCACTTGACTTGATTGAAGTTCCTTGTCTTCCTATCGCAATCCCTAGCCATCTTATAAATGTCCTTCTCTCATTTCTTCGTACTCAAACGTTGATAAAGGTCCTCATAGGCCTGCCCCTTTGCCTCACTCACTGCTCATTTTGTAGTTTTTTTGCCACCTTGTACTTCTCTATATTGTCTGTACACCTGTCATGATACAAGCGCTTATAGCACTCCTATTCTTTAATAGCCTTTTGCACATCTTCATTCCACCACCTTGTACTTCTCTATGTTGTCTGCACACCTGTCATGATATAAGCGTTTATAACACTTCTTTTCCTTAATAGCCTTTTGCACATCTTCATTCCACCACCAAGTGTATTTCGAGTCGCATCCGCTCTCTTTGGTCACTCTAAGCACTTCTGAAGCAACCTTCTGAATGCATGTTGCCATCTTCTCCCACATGCTATTTGCATCGTCTTCATCCTTCCAAGGGCCCTCTTCAAGGACCTGTTCCTTAAAGACCTTTGATGCATCCCCTTCTAATTTCCATCACTTCGTTCTAGCAACCCTAGCTCGTTTGTTCCCACGATCTTGCACCAGAAAGCGGAAGTCAGCCACCACCAGCTTGTGTTGAACGACCACATATTCTCCAGATATCATCTTACAGTCCACGCATGTTCGTTTATCCCTCCTTGTAAGGACAAAGTCGATTTGACAAAAGTATTGGCCGCTACTAAAGGTCACTAAATGGGGCTGTCTCTTACGAAAGAAAGTGTTAGCTATCATCAGATCAAAAGCTATAGCAAAGTCTAAGACTTCCTCTTCCTCTTGGTTCCTACTACCATATCCGAAACCCCATGAACCGTCTCGAAACCTACACTTAATGTACCTACATGGCCATTAAGATCACCTCCTATAAAGAGCTTCTCGCTACTAGGGACAGCTCTAACAAAGCGATCTAAGCCTTCCTAGAAAAGCCGCTTAGCACTCTCATCATGGCCTACGGAGGCATACGCACTAATTACGTTTAAAACCATATCACTAATGACAAGTTTAACTAAGATGATCCTATCCCCTTTTCTTCTCATCTCCACCACACCATCCTTGAGGCTTTTATCAATCAAAACTCCTACTCCATTTTTATTTGAAGTTGTCCCTGTGTATGAGAGCTTGAAGTCGGTATTGTCCACCTCCTTCGCCTTCTGCTCCTTCCATTTAGTCTCTTGGACGCATAAGATATTTACACGCCTCCTAACTACTGTGTCCACTAACTCTCTTAACTTACCCGTAAGGGACCCTACATTCTAGCTACCTAAACAGATCCTAGTTGGCTCGGCTAACTTCTTTACCCTTCGCACCCGCCGAGGTAGGTGTGAAGACCCTTGCTCATTTTGCACCACATCCGGGCGTCGATATGGCGCGCCACTAAGGATGCGACGACCTGATCCTTGCTCACTTGACACCGTGCCCAGATCGCGATACGGTGCGTCACGGGGGTGACGACCTGGTCCTTGCTCATTTAACACCATACCGGGTTCTGACATGGCGCGTCGCTAAGAGGGTTACGCTCCAATGGGATTCTTTTGGGTTGCATCTCTCCATAAAAGTGGCTAAGTTTTTACATTGGCTCGCCACGCCTAACACAACCCTCCTCCTTTACCAGGGCTTGGGACCTGCTATGCTGGGACATCAAAGGCGTCCCACCATAGGCGGAGTTACTATATATTGGCAATTAAGGTTAATGATGTAAAACTGTCCTCCCATATGCTAGTTGTTCTGTGGCTTCCAGATCCAGAAATAGTAAATAGATTTTTGTAAAGACTATTTTATCGGTTATATTTCACAGATTTATGAAGAAGATATTTCATATATTTATTTTTCCAATTAGTTAAAGTCTTATTTGCTCATGTGTTTAACTGATCTCTCCTTTATGATGTTTCTGCAGTTATATGTCAAAAATAACAAAATCACTACGTGATCCCTGTGAAGTAGTACGGAGACAAACATTTATCCTACTCTCTAAGTTGTTGCAGGTGCTAAACACTTCTGTAACGCTTTGTTTTGAATATTGGGTCATGGTTACTGAGATTGCTATTTTGTCCAGAGGGACTATGTAAAGTGGAGAGGGGCTCTCTTCCTTCGGTTTCTGCCATCTTTAGTTGATGAGTCTGAGAAGATTAGGCATTTGGCTGACTACCTTTTTGGGAACATCTTAAAAGGTATTTCTTTTTGTACTAAACTTTTCTTGTTTTATTAAGTCACTGATTAACATCTGCTTAAATTTTGCAGCTAAAGCGCCACTCCTTGCATATAATAGTTTTATTGAAGCTATATATGTTCTAAACGATTGCACTGGACACGGTGTATATAGCGACTCTCAGTCTCAGGGAAGTTCAGACAAAAGACCTGCCCTTTTTGCAATTCGGTAAAACAACTCAAACTGTTCTCCTTAGTCCTTGCAAGGAAGATGCTTCATCCCTAGCTTTCATTTTTTTTTGCAGTGGCACTGATGAAAGATCGAGATCAAAACGAATGCACATTTATGTCTCTTTGCTGAAACAAATGGCACCAGAGCACCTTTTAGCCACGTCGGCCAAGTTATGTGCTGAGATCTTGGCAGCTGTTTGTGATGGATTGCTCAGTGTTGATGATGCTGGTGGAAGGGCTGTACTTCAGGTGGGGATCAATATCTTCAGAACTCAGATGGTTTTATGCCAATATGAACTGAGAAAAGTATCTTGGATATCGAGTACCTAGATAGTAGATACAACCATTGACGTCGTCGATGAGTGCTTATAGCCTGATTGTCACTTGACTGACCTGCAATGTGCACATGCAGCCTGGGTTTTGAATTTTCGATTCATGCTTATGGTACATGCTTAGTGTGTTAAATAATTAATTAGGAGAGCTAAATAGCCTTGTATGCTGCTATTTTTCCATAGTTTTGATGATTTAGTTTTTCTCAACAGGATGCTCTGCAGATACTGGCTTGCAAGGAGATGCGCATCCACCCCAACATCTTGTCAGAGAATTCCGAGATGGACGAGGAAGGTGGCGAGGGCGGGGGAATGGCCAGCGCGCTCCTGGCGGCCAAAGGGAGGGCGGTGACCCAGGTGGCAAAGAAGAACCTGATCCAGATCGCGGTCCCGATCTTCATCGAGCTGAAGCGGCTGCTGGAGAGCAAGAACAGCCCGCTGATCGGATGCCTGATGGAGTGCCTGCGCGCCCTGCTCAAGGACTACAAGAACGAGATGGATGAGATCCTGGTGGCGGACAAGCAGCTGCAGCGCGAGCTCCTCTACGACATGCAGAAGTACGAGGCAGGCAAGGGGAAGGGCAAGGTTGCCACGCAGGCCGAGGCCGAGGCTGGTCCCAGCGGCACCGGCAGGTCCCCGGCTGGTGAGTCTGCGAGAGCCACTGTCAGGTCGGTGCTGAAGGAGGTGAACCTGAAGGCGCCGACGCCGCCGCTGCACTCGATGAGCGTGCCCAAGGTGAAGTCCATTCTGGGCAGTGCTGGGCCGGGCTCTCGCCGCCCCGATGTCCTCGAGTCGGTCCGGCGGCTTCAGCCGTTTGAGTCGGACGATGAGAGTTAGCATGCGTCCGCTTTGATGCCAGCACATTTCCGCTGTTGGACTTGGCCTGGTCTGGTCTGATGTTCGTTTTAGTATGATGACGACGACTGAGTAGGAGATTAAGGCATTAAGCTCATTTTCTCAACGAGGCTTTCGCTGACTTGCGCTGTATATATAATAATTAGGGACTGATTAGATAACTGTTGACAGATTTATCACCCCAAAACCTGTCAAATTATGGACAAATCAACAGCTGAAACGTCAGCCAAGAAAAAATGACAGATTTTCATATACTAAATCTGTCAGATTTTGCACCACAGGTTACAAAATAGACAAAAGATCCAAAACCCGTTATATCCAACAATCAAAACATTTAGAAGAAATCTGTCTGTCCACGCACCAGCTGCAGCAGGTCCAGCTCCACTCCCAGCCTCAGCAGCAGGAAATAATCATCAGTCAATCAGCTTTGATCTACAAAATGACAAGGAAATAATCATCAGTCAATCAACAAGCACCAGGAAACACCATAATAAGTTGCCCAGAATAGACAGATTTTCAACACACAAGTATAAGTATATTTGTCGAGTGACCCTTTTCATATGCAACCAAATGCTATTACTAATTTTACTATAATATCATCTCATCTAGAAAGAATGATTCCTGATTGCTGAAAGGTTTTGTTTTTCTGACATTGCTTCCAAATTGTTTCTGGTAATACTGCTACCATCGAGAAAAGAAATTTGATACCTCTTGATCCAACATTTTCCAATGATGTGTCAAATCAAAGAGCTGTTTTAGAGTTCCATGTTTGTGTTTGCCTACGGTTCAGGCCCCTAGTACTCCCAACAGTACACGTGCTTATCCTCCTCTTCTGGGCTCTTCTGCAGAGAACAAGTTCACAAAAGGAATTAACTTTAGAGATGTTCAGTTAACTTTCTGAATGATCAGGGTTGCAATGTGCCAACCATAATATTGGTTGGATGAGCCAAGTTGTCCTTGAGGAAGCTCTTGAACTCTTGGAAGTTCTCTGTTGTCCGCTAGTGCCCGCTGAGAGGCCAAATCACCTGACACACAAAAAAACAAATCTGCCTCACCAAAAAGACATCTAACAAACTGGTTGTTGAAAAAAAGTGAAACTGAATATTTGCTCATACTAGAATGGTAACAGATTGATAGATACCTTCAAAGTTCCATTCTCAACAACCAATCGCCCAACAGTACAAAGTGGTCCCTATGGCAAGTAAGCTAGAGTGTTAAAATGTTTCCTTTTTCTTCTGCATTTGAAGTTAAAAATTAAAACCTGTCCACTCACATGAGTATACCTGAAATGGGCATCTAACTTTTACATTGCAACACACAAAAATAAAAAAGGCAAACCAAATGATCATACCTACAAACAAGCTTAGATATACCAAAATTCGGAGAAATTTAATCTTTACACATTGAGAGCAAATGACATTCAATTGTCAGAGCCACCATTTTCTCAAAAGCACCTGGGCAAAGATAGAAAATGACGACACTCCAAAAACAGAAATAGGACCACCCAAAAAAAGGCCCACAAAAAAAAACCAATCTCCATACTCTCTTGGTCCTTGAAAAAGAAAAAAAGGCAACAAACAAAAGCAACCAGTACAACAGATCTGCAGATATAATCATAAAGTGCTGCCTACAAAAAACATATAGTTTACCTGAAAAACAAAATGCAGCTAGCAAACACATCTACAAAAATGCCAGCTTCTTAGCAAAATCGCCACCCCAAAAAAAGGTTGACATGACACAAATAATAACCACAAAGATTGATTAAAAAAACATACACATGTTAAGCAACCGCAGATAATCAGTTCGAAGCAACCTCAGCAACTAGAAACCAGTCACAAGTCACACAAAGACACACGCACACACAAACCAAATCTAGCACCCACAAAAAACAAACACAACCAGAAAACACAGACACAGCCCCACTCACACACCCCAAAGCTAGCATACAAATGTACAGAGCTCTAACCTGGGTAAGCAGAGTTTCATCAGTAGGGAGCTAAAGATCCTCCATGGTGCCTCCACTTTCAGTCAGCAAGGCTGACCTGCGTTATGTGTTGACCAAGTACAGAGTTAAAAAAGAAAATCAACACGAGCAGTTTTTCATCTGTGAATATAAGAGTAAAAAAAGAAGCATACAAATCCATCCTCAGATATATCAATCAGCTGGCAGTAATCTGAAATGTGGGGAGTAACACTTGATCAAATAAAAATCTCTAGTAGCAAACAAGCTACTGAGAACTACAGATATAGCTCAAGCAACTAAGTAGCAAACACCAGATATGAAGTATCTCACAACTCAAAAAGATTAGCCATATACCTTTTCTCAGTGCCCACAAAGCACATGCTCACCCCCCCTTGCTTCCTTTTCTTTGAAACCTTGGATGGTAAGCGATTACCATAGCTATCACAACACAGTGCTGATTTGCCAAAACAACCTACAAATCGTTAAATTAAAATGCAGCTGGCTCAAAAGATGTAACAAAAGGAAGTAGCTTCACACTGAACTTGTACAATTTCACCGCATTCAGCTACCTGAGACTCAGATTGGCACTGCTGCTCGTCATTTGAAACAGCATCTTCCTGAAAGCCATTAGCGTCAGACCGCACGGTGAGCATACCCCATCCATTTCGAGATAAAAAAAAACCAAGTTCAGCAAGGAAAGCCTCTGTGCTTATACAGAGGCTGTACTTGAAACCTGTCAAAACAGAAGAGCATCACAAGAATCAACACAGAAGAACTACCTATCCTTGAACCCCCAACATAAGAGCTAGATTGTGGCAAGTGCACAATACATCAAATAGAGTGAGTGAGTGAGTGAGAGAGAGAGAACACCCACACGCAGACACAAACACACCCAGTAAACAATAACACCCACACCCACAAAGACACACACACCCAAACAGAGACACACACACTAACAAATTAATCAATAGCAGCAAAGCAGCAGCAACTGAAATGTTCAGAAACAGCATTTGCTGTTGCTGCTGATCAGTAGCAGCCCAATCAGCAGCAGCAACTTAAAAAACAACCCAGGAAAAAAAACAAATAACTTTGGGGCCCTTAAAAGGCAAAATACAAACACAAATAACTGACACATCAAAAAAATTAAGCCGCAAAAACAAACCCAAAATAAAAGCCCAGAAAAACATAGAACCACAAAAAAAAATCACACGTACACAGAAAAAATGCACACCCATCCACACACAAAAAAAACGACACACACACACAAACAGAGGGAGAGAGAGAGGCACAGAAAAAGATACACATGCACCCACACAGAAAAAGAACACACACAAACACAATCGTAAGGCAAAGGACAAAAAAGAACTACAGCTAAAAAAACAAACCTTCAAAGACACAAACACCCAAACACATAAAGAAAGCCCAAACACCAAAAAAAAAAAACCCACACACACACACACCAGAAAAAAAACCTGAAACAACTATAAAAGCAGAAGAAAAAAACCTAAAACAGCAGAAATGCAGATCTGCTATAACCAAAACAAAAAAAGAAAAGAAAACGAAAAAGAAAAATAAAACAAAACATCACCACAAAAGAAAAAAAATCAAAAAAGGCCCACAAGAAAAAGCCCATAAAAACTAACAACACATCACCACAAAAATATGACAAAAGTTACCAAGTTCAGTGAGTCTATCAGCACAAATGCACAAATATCTCAAAAAAGACCTTTCAGATGTGTACAAGACAAAAAGCATGTAGATATACCGCAGAAAACATTCAGTCGGGCAGATAAAAAGACATCTACAAAAGCATCCAATTTTCTAAAAATAATAAATTGCTCACTCACCTTAATCCTTTGCAAGGTCCTCACCATATTAGGGGTCATCTTAGTTCTCAGGTGCTTCAAAATCTGCCACAGCAATAAAAATGAGAGAAAATAAAAGATATATTGCATCAACAAAAACAAAAAAAAATATACAAACCTACTTCTTATACATGTCAACCAACAAATCATCAAGACCATCAAATGGGAGACTCGCCATTGCCACTCCACCTGTCCAGGAACACAGCTAACCAAAATCAGCAAAACTATTCTTTAATAAGATGTAAGAAATTGCAAAATGAATAAGCTATCTTATTGAATTGCAAACTGAAAAGCCTGATATCAGCACTAGCAAGTCCAGGAACACAATGTGCAAATTAAAAAAGCAATGGCCATTGAATCACTATATCAAATCAAGCAAACATAAGCAGATATACTTTCCATTATCAACTCTAAAAAACAGAGTCATGCAGGACGTCACAAACTCATCCTAGTCATGGTTTTTAACTAGACCCAATCTGTTTCCAGCTGTCAAAACCAGACGTACGTACACCAAAAATAGCATGGACAAAAGCAGACACGAGCTCAAATGGATGCTACTACTGATATTGCTCAACTTGTAAAAATGACAGACCAAGAAAAAACATACACGAGAAAATGGCAATGAGATCCCAGAGTTAGACGCACAGCAGATCTCACATCCAGCTGAAATTCAACAGCAGAAGAGTCTGAGATTTAGCAGTGTAATTATCTTCAGATATCACAAATTAATAACACTAATACAGTATGATACAAGCAATAGTTGTACTCATCATTGAAATGATGTGAATCGGTGTGAAAAATGATGTGAAGCAGTTAGAACAAGCAAAAAAGCAGTTCACAAGATTTTCAGATTGACTAATCATATTTTCAACAGACAAATCTAAAGGTTTTAATCACTCAAGAAAGTAACTAAACAGAGTAAGTAATGATGACATGCACTATTGCTAGAAATTAGCAAGTATTGCGACGAATAGGGATGCCCATTCAGCCATATCAATTTTCACATTGGGGGCAGACGGAAAATGCTACAGACTACAAATCCATTAACAAGAATCTACTAGCTTCCATCAGATCACTGGAACTGAGCCAACAACATACAAATCGTAATTGCATGGTTAAATTCAGACATGAACAAAACAAAGAAAAACAACCCC